GGGGGCCTGGCTGCCACACACCTCGGGGGCAGGACTCATTTCCATGGCCTCATTGCTCTCCTCTTCCACAGGAGGTCCAATAACAAATATGCTCTGATGCTTATAAGGCAGGGTCTGTTTTTGGACCAAGATCCAGCTCCCGGGACCCAGGGTTATTGGGGGCCCCTGTGGTCATTAGACACGGGCTGGCCCCTGGGATGTCTGGAGAGCCGGGCTCTGCTGGTCAGCGTGCAGGATGCCAGAGCTTGGCGGGGACACACACCTCCGTCCATCTGCTGGAGCGGTGGCATTGAATTACTGAATTTAGAAAAGTGGACGGGATCAGCTGTTTCCTTAGCCAGTGGCAGATGGGGTTTGGAGGGCCTGGAGCATGAGGGCGTGGTTGGGAGGTGTTGCTGGAATGACCCTGGGGTGCCCATTTTACCTTTCAGTGGAAGGAGTAGGAGAACTGACTGTCCCATGAGGTAAGTGGCCACACTCACCTCTTCCCGCCAGGGTGCTCAAGCGAGAGATGTGGGAGGAAGGGGGAGCCTGCTGGTGGGGGGAGAGCCTGGAGTTTGCCATCAACCCTGGGTGGAAGCCTTTGCTGCCTCAGAAGCCTGGAGGGCCGGGCGTGGTGAGGGCTGGGCACAGGGTGGGGGCTGCGAGCAGAGGGGGCTGGGCTGCTTGGCCTCCATCCCCTCCCCATCCTCAGCTCCAGTCTGAGGGCTCAGGCCTCCCTCCTGCTGGAACCTTCTCTCTCCTCCACCCTCCCCTGTGGTCCCTCCTCAGGCCCACCTCGTGAGCCCCTCCCCCATTCCTAACAGCATTAGTCTTATTTGGGTCTCTTTTGCAGCCACGGCCCCACTCCTGGCCCCTCTTTACTTCCTCCACCTGGTGGAGTTCTAGAGGCTGCCAGCATCCCTAGGCTCACTGGCTGCATGGCCCCATCTCTGCTTCTGCCTTCACATCGCCTGCTCCTCTGTCTGACCTTCCGGCATCCCTCTTACGAGAGCCCATCTGTATAACCCAGGATGATCCCAAGACCCTGTTCAAATGCCCCATGCACTAGGATGCTTTCCCTGACCACCCCCCCCATGCCGCCACCTTCCCCTGCCCAGGTGGAGGCCCCCATCCCTCCACAGCACCGGGCACACCCGGGTCACAATGGACTGCAACTGCGTGTCTCCTCCAGCCTGTGATCAAGGCCTGTCTTTTCCACCTTAATGTCTTTACTTTGGCGCGAAGCCTGAGGTGGCATACATGGCGAATGGATTGTTTGAATGGAATAAATGAATAAATGAATACATGCAATAAGCTTTGAACCCCGTACACACACAGGCCCCCAGGGGCTCACACAGGTACGGTGCCGGCCCCCTGAGTCCCTGCCTTTTGGCTTTCCAACACTGCACAGCCTCCCCACCTTCCCCCAGTGAAAGGAGCCTGCCTTCCTTTCTGCTGGGCCTCCTAGCTGGGCTGGGATGTTCAGTATGGCTGGGAGAGGGAGGGGCTGGCTCATCCTTTCCTCTTCTCCTAAAATCAAGCCAGGACCTGGCTTGATTGACCAACCGTACTGTTGATTCAAACCTTCCTCCATGGCTCCTCTCAACACCTATCCTCACCCTACCTGCCTCCCCTTCCCAACACTCCCATCATCTGCCCCCTCCCATCTAGTGAAATCCAAAGAAACTCATCCCAGTCCATGCCAAGGGCATCCTTACCACTCTCCAGCGTGCCACCAACTCCTCGGTGGAGATCAGTTCTTCATGGAGTGGGCCACGACAGCCCACCCGAAGCAAACCAGTCTTTCAAAGTCCTGCGCCCCTCCACCATCACCCACGGCCCAGGTCCATGTGCCCAGCTCACCTGTCTCTCCCCAGATGGGCAGGTATTCATCTTGCTGAATGTCCAGCATGATCTCCAGCCCGTTGCCTGTCCCCCCCTTGACCGTGGTGAGCAGAGGTTTGCCATCCTCGCCTGAGTTAAACATGTAACACTTCCCATATTTTGTAAACACCTGAAGGAGAGAAGAGAGAGAGAAAGAGAGAGAGAAGCACATGGGTGACTTCAGACAGGGCTCCAGAGACAGGTGAGACCCCAGAAATCCAACAATAGGCTAAAGTCCCCACAGTTCACCACAATCAACCCCTCTTGGGGACCAATGATTTCTTGCCCTGGCTAATGGCTTGACTTTTGTGATGTGGGATTCTGGCATCAAAGAACAAATCTGGATGCCAGATTTGTTCTGGCAAAACCCCTCTGGGGTTTGCTACAATGGCACCTGGGCTCTTCTCCCTCTGTGTGCTCCCTCTGTCCACTTCCAAGTGTCAAACACTGTTAGTAAGTTCTTGACCCTCCAATCTGCACCTCTGGCCCTGAGACCCTCTGGGCTCCAGACACGCTGATCCCACTGCCTAATCAGCATGACCTCAGGGGGACCACAGACCCTCGGCACTCAGCACGTCCCAGTGGGAACAGATCTTCCTCAGCTCCCCCGCCCCCACCGCTATGGGTCTCCCGCATCCCTATTCCAGGAAATAGCACCCCTACCTGCCAAGGGCTCACGCCAGGCCCTCAAGTGGCTGCCCAGGCTTCCCATTCCTAATCCTCAAGCCCCACGCAACAGCAAGGCCTGTCCACGCTGTCTCCACAACCCCCTTGCACTCTGCCTTCTGTCTTCTGCATCGCTGCATCCCAGGACCCAGGCATTTTGTCCTGGGCTGCTGAAGCCTCCTAGCTGGGCTTCTGGGTTCCAGACAACTTTCTCTAGCCCATCCTTTAACCGTGGTTCTCTCTTTCTGACATGCCAACCTGATGTTGTGAATCCTGTGCTTAAAATCCACCTGGGCTCCTCTTCCCCCTTAGGCTGAAATCCAGGCCCTTCACACCTAGCCTTCTATGATGCCTCCACCTCCACCATCTACCATTTCCCTTCTGAGTCCCCGGAAACCCACTAGAAGGTAAGCTTTGTGGGCTCAGGGACTACATCCACTGAGATATCTATCCCTAGTGGCTAGGGCAATGCCTGGCACATGAGGGCGCTCCAGCAAGCAGCTTGCAGCACCCCAAGAAGTGCCCTGCTGGTTCACACACTTGTAGCTTTCTCATTCCTTTTCCTGCCTGGGCAAACTCTAGTTGTTCTCCAAGACTGGATTGATGCTTTCCTGAGGGTTGGATCAAGTTGGGGTTACCCCCCACCCCCAACACACACTGTCCCCCTTACCCCTTCACCATGGCAGCTACCACATGCTGCTGAGCAGCTGGTCCTACATCTCTCCTGAACTTGACTCTGCCTTTCATTTCTGAATCGCAGCACTTAGTACCTGGCCTGGAGCACAGTAGGTGCTCGGTCCACTTTTGCTTGATGAATGCACAATTACAAAGATACAGTGTGATGGTGTGGGAAAGCCCAGAGCAAGGGATAGAGCTCTTTGTCCAAGTTTGATGTTGTCACTTATTAGTTGTGTGACTTAAGGTGAGCTAAAGAAACCCTCTAAACCTTGATTTCTCCATCTATAAAACAGTGGTTCTAGCCCTAGCCAGTGTGGCTCAGAAGAAACCCTCTAAACCTTGATTTCTCCATCTATAAAACAGTGGTTCTAGCCCTAGCCAGTGTGGCTCAGTTGGTTAGGCATTGTCCCGTGCACCAAAAGGTTCCCAGTTCAATTCCCAGTCGAGTCACATGCCTGGGTTGCAGGCTCAATACCCAGTGGAGGGTATGCGGGAGCAGCTGGTCGATGTTTCGCCCTCCCATGTATATATGTCTCTCTCTCTCCCTTTCCCTTCCTCTCTCTCTAGAAATCGATAAAAATATTTTAAGAAATGGATGTTCCAGTCCTTGTCTTAGCTAGCTCCCAAGGTTATTGAGAGATCGACTGAGGTAATACGTGCAAAAGTGCTTTGAAACTATAAAAACTCTCTCCAAATTCTAGGGTTGTTATGATTACATAACTGCTTTGAATTTTAAGCGGAAGCCAAATTACATCTGGCAAGACTGGCTGGAAGAGAGCCAGGCCAATGGTATTGGATTCCTGCAGCCACTGAGATTTGGGCCTGGGTCACCTCCCCAAACATGCTCCACTGCACTGTCCCCTCCTGGCACGGAGACCAGAGATACTCTTCGGCTTCCCATCCTTCAGCACAGGGGCAGGTAATAGCAGGGGTGAGTGCTGCAGGCTGCCTTTCTCATGCAGATCTTGATGGCTGCATGGAAGGAAGGGAGAGGGGCCTCTACCATGTGCCAGGCACTGTGCTAGATAGATGCTTACCTATGTTGTCTCATTTAACCCCTGCAGCTGTGATCACGAGTGGTTATTGCTGCTCCCTTTGTGCAGGGGGGGAAGCCAAGGCCCAGAGAGGTTAAGTGACTTGCCTAAGGTCACACAGCTATTAAGCAGAGAAGCTAGAATTCAAGCTCATATCTGTCTGATTCTAACACATGTGCTCTTTCTGGGTGTGCTGTCCTGGGTCTTTGTCATTGGGATGTTTCTGAGCCATATACTCTTCCCTTCTGCCTGGCTTTTTCTGTCAGTTAATCAATATTCATATGCATGTGGTCCTACTATGAGCAAGGATTTGGGAATTGCAAAGAAGTACAAGCCTTACTACCTGCCTTCACGATCCATAGGAAGGGTCATCAAAACAACAGATTCCACATTTTTCTCCTCTAGACAACATGGCTCCGAGTCCCTGGCAGCCAAACTATTTGAAAACAGACAAGCCCCACTCTCTCAGCTTTGTGGTGGAGACGGCTGGAACATGATTTTTCAAACTGAGCTTTATCATCAGTACTGTATACAGCCACTGAACTTGGCTAATGAAACTTTCCCCCGGAGAGATGCTCTTGGGGACCTCTATAATGAATGGAGGAGAACATTTTATAGTTAGCATGTCCATTGAAAGGGGATGAACCCATCAACCCATCTGGAGTGACTTCGGGGTGCTCCAATAGAGTTTTTCTTTGTAGACCCACCAAATAACCTCTTTGGTTCCAAAATTGTTTATAATATTAATTTCCCTATCTATCTAAAGAGAGTTGTAAGTAAAAGTACATTTCAGCTTAGCACCAGATCATTACAAATTCTAGCCTCCTCCCCTCCATTTGGTACTTAAGCTTTAGAATATCATGCTGTGTGGCACTGATAAAGGTATTGACCTCTCTGTGCTTCCGAGGGTGATGACAAGGTATGAGAACTAAAAGGGGAGTTAGAGATGATTTCCCCCACCTACCTGACGTTATAGGTAAGGAAATGGAGACCTGGGCCAGAGAAAGTGACTTGCCCAAGGCTATGCAGCAAGGATGTATCCATCTGCGACAGGAACTCCTGGTTCAACCTATTTCTTCCTCAGCCTCCCTCAGTTTCTCCACTTGCAAGAGGAAATGGAGGGTGTATGGCAGTGCTAAGTTCAGATGATCATTGACTGAGTGCCTGCTCTGTGCCAGGCACTGGCTGGCAACATCGAAGCCTTGTGAATCAGTCTTTCCCTACAGAAGAGGGAGCAGACAGGTCCTTGAGATGGGAGTGATAGAGACTTGCTACCCATCCTTGATGCCTCCTTACAGGCCTGGGACTCATCTGAGGCCCAGGCCACAGCTCCTGCAGGTGCCTCAGTGTCAGTCCCATCTCTCCTGCTCCCTCCTCCTGGGCATTGGTATAGGGACAAATGCATGAAGTTGCCAGGTGTGGACTGACACAGAAGGGAGCTTGGCGAGGGCTGGTGGCAACCACAGTGGCAGAGGGTGACCACAGCCATGTCTGAGAGACGGCCAAGGAACAATCTACAACAGCCAGGTTCTTTATCGAGTCAGACCACCATCAAGAGGCCTAACACCCTTCTGCGGCTTCCTGGTGCATTTAAGATATAGGCCCAAATCCTCACTGGGTCTCCCATGGCTCGGCAGGGGCTCCCTCTCTCCCCTCCCACATGCTTCACACCCTCTGGGCTCTTCAGCTCTGGGAGTGTGCGGCCAGCTCATCCCCACGGGGCCTTCTGTTTACTGTTCCTTCTGCCTAGAGTGTTCTCCCCACATCCTTCGCCTGGCTAACTTGTGATCCAGCCTTGGCTCAAATGCCAAGTCCCCAGAGGCCTCTCTTCAGCACCTGGCTCCTGCTGCCAGCTTCCACTTAAACTGGGGCTCCTTGGTATACAACCTCGCACCCCTGCTTTCTTCCTTTATAGTACATATCAAAGTATGCAACTAGGTTATTAGTTGGACATGTCTTACACTGAACTGTAAGCTCCAAGAGAGCAGGGACTGTGTTTGTTTTGTTGCGTGAACGAGTGAATGGGTTCCAAGGTGCTGTGGCCCCCCACCCCCTTGCCCACCTCTGGGAGGCGCCCTGAGATGGTCCGGTTCTGGCGGAAGCTCAGGCCGACACCTCATCCAACTCCCCTCCCCTCCCTTTCTCTGCTCTGGCCTCTCAGATGCCCACTTAATTTTACCTAAGCATTTTTTTCTTGCTCCCCTGTGAAGGTATTAGAGGAAATAATCCTGTCAGGAACTAAGACAGTTTACTTTGGTGGGGGCAGGAGAGGGGGCGCAGACACAGCAGGGCACCCTCAGTTGGCCCGCCTGCCGCCTGCTGAGCCCTCTGCTCTGCCCAGCTTTTCTGAAAGGATTATTTTCCTTTCCACTCAACATCAAAGGCTTGAGGGCTATTGACACTCAGTGCAGTTTTGCTACAAACTTGGGATAAGATGCAGCTCTCTTTCCCCATCTCGGGGCATAGTGATGTATAAGAGTAACACACGCTTCAAATTTAGGCTTTATCACCTCCAGCCGAAACCCACAATTTATTTAAGTCCAGACTGTCAGTCAGGTGAGCTCGCTGCTGCTTCAGACCTGCCAGTCTCCCAGGCTCATCTCTGCTCCCCAGTCCCACCCCCTGGCAGGGCTGGGTGTGCAGGGCTGCTGAGCGTCTGGAATTGCTCTTAGTTGGGTTGATTTGGAAGAATTCATTTCAAACCTGCATCTCCAGGAGTGATGGGGGATCCTGAGATAAAAACGGGGCCACG